GAGAGAGAGAGAGAGAGAGAGAGAGAGAGAGAGAGAGAGAGAGAGAGAGAGAGAGAGAGAGAGAGAGAGAGAGAGAGAGAATGAATTGGACAGGCAGACACACTGGTTGACGGGGAGCAGGACATCCACTCCACCATCTGAAGCCTGGTGTTTTCCTTGCGAACATTGTCTCCTCTGTATGGATCTCCCACCTGCTGATTTATGCTTGTCTGATCCAAACGCAGTCACTAGCGCTCTCCTCGATGAAGGGCTTACTCCAGCTGCTGAGGTATGCCTGTCTCACAATATAACAGTGTTAGGGGTTACTCCTTTTGTATGGGCTGTTTTTGTTGATTGTCCACCTGACAGATATTTTTAATTTTTTTTTGTGACAAACATAGAGATGAAGAAAGAGAAGAATGTGGAGTTTATTTTGTAAATCCTACAGGAAAGGAGAAGGGAAGATAATCAAAATATTATAGAGGTTAAGGGGATCCTAATAGCCACTAGTAGGAGATGTGGTGGCAGACTTAGCAACAGGAATGCTGTCCCAGACTTTGCACCAGCAGGGGATTATAATAGCCCCAGACTTTGCCCCAAATACAACAGGGATGTGATGCGAGACTTTGCAACGCGAGATTGGTACCCAACAACCGACATTTTGGCAATGTCGGTGGCATGCGATTGATTTGTAACGATTCCCTCTACTTTGTCGCATTGCCCATCTTCTGAGCAGGGGATGACATTGGTTATGTGACACTCATGCTCTCTCTCTCTCTGTGGTGTCTTGTGCTGCTGTGATGCTGGTGGAATGTGAATCAGGTTCGCATATTAGATGCATTTGTCAGCAAGTTTGGAACTATCCGACGAAATATTCCTCAAGTAAGTATTGCGGGGACCGTCACAGTTTTCCTTTTGCTTTCTGGCCTTCGGTTTCCCTCGCCACCCAGAGTGAATGGAATGAAAATGCCCGGACTGATTACTGCCATCATGGAATGCAGCTGATGTTTGTTATTGTGGACCTTACTATTGGCAGGCATAGTAAATGCGGTCAGTGCTCATGGATGCAGCTAGGGTAGCCCTTGTTTCTGTAATTGAGACGATCTTTCACGTTCTTGCCCATAAGTACCTTGTTCTGCTCTGGCACTGCCGGAAACTGCATGGACCTGCCCGGATTTGCCTGGAGCTTCCAGGAACTGCCTGTGATGTCTGATTGCGAGGTTTAATTCCATCCATACGGCTGTTTGGGTGCAATTATGGTACTGTTGATGCAGCTTCTCTTTCTTCTTGGGCCTGGTGCAGCTTCTCTTTCACATTGTCAAACTTTTGAATTTTGTGTTCCGTATGGACATTGTCAAACGGTTTAAGTACTTGTTCGTGGACAGCGTTCGCGTGATGCTAAGTGCTGTATGTTGTTTTTGCTTGCGGGTAATGTGTGGATGGACATGTACCAAATAGATTCTCCAAGCAGCAGAGGCAACAGGAGATCTGGAAAGGGTCAGCTTGAAGGCGAGATTGGAGCTGCCCGTACAGGTGAGAATGGAAGAGAGAAACTAAATTTCGTGACCTTACCCAGGCTTCACACCTCTAAGCCAGACACACCAGACATGCTCCTATTTGTGGAGGTGGTCTTTCTGCGTCAGTTTTTCTTATGGAGAAATTGTTGCGGACAGCCCAGCCGTTGTAGTAACCTCCTACATGTGGCTGCTGCTTTTTTTCTTAACTGTTTCTGGAGCGTCAATGTCCTAGACAATCTTCTGGCGCAAATCCTTTCCTTGGAAGACATCTGACATGTACTCTGTGAGACTCCAGGAAACATGGCAGGCTATTCTTAATCATATCAAGAGAGGGTGTGGGCTGTTTCTAAGGCATGTGGAAACGGTGGTGACCCTTTCACCCATGAAAAAGGGTGAGCCTTTCACCTATGAGAAACAAAATGGTAAGGATGGACATTGGACTTTTTCTGAGTCATATCAGAAGGGTGCGGGCTATTTCTTATTTCTAAGTGTTTGACCCATGAGGAACCAAAGGTAAGGATTCTGGTGTCTGTTGGGCCCACACAGTTGGAGAGAGACACCCTGCAATTGAGATCTGCGACCTGGGCGCAATCAAACGTCACCTTCTGGAGCACTGTGAATCTGTGATAAACGTCTAATCCGTTGGGCATTGCCCGAAGTTATTTGGAAAGTGTAAGCCTCTGGAGTCTGGACCCATGAGGAAGCAAGTGGTAAGCATTCTGCTGTCTGCTGGGCCCAGAAGAAGAACCAAGGAGCACTGTGATCCAACTCTTATATGTTGAGGACTAGGCAGGATGGAATCAATCAAAAGAAAGCATGCTCTTGCCAGCGCCACCTTGCATAACCAGTGCTTTTCTGCCTTTGAAATTGTACCTGGCTGCGTGAAGGCAGGAACATTTTGTTCCATAACTCTGTCGCCATCAAGATTGCGATTTGACACCAAAGGTCAGTGGCCACAGTTCTTTCTTTTTTTTTTCCAGTGGCTGCCCTGGGACCTGCTCTGGGTGGCCACTGCGCTGCAAACACAGGCAGTGCAATCCAGGAAAGCCAACGGGAGAGTGGTGGTTTATCAGGTACATTGAAGAAACAATGACGAGGCCACCAACCCCTAGACAAACTTCAGAGGTAGGGCTCATCTCTCAAGAGTGTGAGTGCCCAGACCCCAAGTTTGGTATTCCCCTCCTGTGGAGGTGGTTGAATGGTATAGAGTACTAACGACATGTGGCTGTAAGAAACTGATCTAGGATCTTTTGAAAAAATGAACTGCTTGACAAAGAAGAGGGATCACTAAGAGTGTGAGAATGCCCGGTCGCTGTGTACTATTCCCCTTGTGCAGAGGTGGCTGAATGGTATAGACTCTATAGACTAGTATAGAGTCTATACACATGAAATGTCGTAACAAATCGTGAGTTCAAATCCCAATGCAATCAGATGAATGTGATAATGTTTAGTGTCTCTTTTGTTGCTTGAATTCCCTGATACCGTCGGAGTTGCTGGCCTCTGCCGAGTCATGTGGCTCCATGGGCCAAATTGAAATATGAACCGAAAAATCTCCTTGTAATTGGGGGTTGCCAGCGGTTGGACCGCCACCACTCCGCTGTCTTGTTTTAGTTTTTGTTTTCATTTCAGAGGGCAGTCTGAACGCTTCCTTTATTACAGTAAGAAATATCATATGGATTTGAGGACCAGCGTTCACTTTGGGAAGTCTTTGCATTGATGGGTCCTTGCGGAAAAGCTGCTGTAATTCCATGCCAAAGAGAAAGATAGGTAGGGGTACGGGGTTCCCCTGCCTCACTGGTCTGGAGATAGGGTAGCGGTATGAGATTAGTCCATTAATCTGCACACCTCTGGCTGCATCCGTGGAGTCAATTCTCACCCATTTTCTGAAGTTGGGGCGAACACCCATCTTCTCCATACTAGCATCGAGAAAGCCTCAATTGACTTGGCCATGGGCTTTCTCCAAGTCAAAGACAGGATAGATGTTTGACTTGGTAATAGGCTTTCCCCAAGTCAAAGAGAGGATAGGTGTTTTAAGCCTTTCCTCCATCACCTTTCGGGATGCCTCACTTAACCTTTAGCACATTAGGCCTCGCACACCATTCACAAAAGGAGGAAAATGCCGAGTGCATCTTTCCGAATAAGGTGGAAAGATTGGTTAGTTGCTATGAATAGTAACAGATGTGTGCTGCTACCTCCTGCTGGAAGATGCACTGACATGTTTTTCGTTCCGTGAGGGGTATGGCAAGGCCCATTACCAAAGATGTGCCTCCCTGGTATGAAGCCAGCTTGGTCAATATGGAAGGATTTATCAGTCTGGTTAAACCCAGTGCTAATGCTACCCTTGTCCGAGAGGCAGGAACACAGCATGGAACACAGAGTTTGCCCGGGGACACCGACTTAGATGCAGACAACCACATGGCATGCATACATCATCAGCAGGTCACAGACACTCGAGACAGGGTCAGACTTGGAAGTTACAGCAAGCAGATCAGAGACAGCAACGTGTCTCAGGAAATGCAGACTTCTCAGTTGGGAACTGCGCAAGTCATTGCAAATGCTTTTCCCCATGTACCAGTTCAAGACCACTACAAATGAGGGTCCCTGTAGGAGGAGGCTTAATTGGTTGGAGCTCTTGTTAAGCTTGTGGGTAAAGCCCTGTGTCTGGGCTCCAGTGTAACTGTGCTTTGAAGGGTGTATCTGGCTTGTCTTGCTTGCAAATCGGTGATGTTTGCCTGGTCTTTCATTGCTCACAATATTGGAACTTCATTTTGTGCAATAAGAGAAAGAGACTCGCACGGTTTCAACGAGGCTGACCTCTGCTGTTGTGTTTGATAGCGATTGACTTCTTGCTGTTTGGGAAATCTCGCCGATGTGTTTACAACTTGGTCTCCGGACTCCTTTAATCACAATTGATGCAGATGGATAATTAATGGATGTTGTTGTGTTTGTTGTCCCACCTTGGTGACAGAAGGCTGCGTTAAATCTACAGGCCCCACTGGAACCGGCAAAAGAGCTGACCGATTGCAAGCATCTTATCAAGACACTGGTCTTGGGTGGGTAAATGTGCTTATGAGTGATGGTCTTCAGCAGTGTTCTCTTTTTGTGGATTGCTGAAGATGGTTGACCTGTAGCAGCTGCCTGAACTTGTGGAGTAAGAATGGAAATCAGGGACAGTTTTTTTGCCTGGATTAGTTTATCCATTGCATCCAATGAATGTACGCTGAGAGCCCGTTATGATGTCCTCCCTGCGGAGTTCACGGTTGCTGCTTCCCCCATCTCATCCGTTTGTTTTTCGATGAGCTTGCTGGGTTTGAAGAAATGCAATTTAAAGTGTTTTTGGTTGGTTTCCTTTTTGCTTTGTTTTGTTGTTATTGTTGTTGTTGTTCTTAAAATCCCCTATTACCTCTGGACATGACCTGCCGGGGCTAATGATGCCAGGGGTATCGCAACAGTGTTTTGTAATTCTATAGGGGAAATATGGGCCTACTGTGGTCACTGCTTAGTGAATGGAAGCCCAACCAGACAGTCTTGGACTCATGGTTTAAAAGAAACACCGGGCAGTTTGGTCAGCCGGATATGGATATCTGGACCCCTTTTATTCTGAAGTGTGCTGGGCGGCACAGTCGGATATTGGTCTAAGAAATTCTGAATATTCTCCGGGCCCTGGACAAATTAGGTGCAGGGCCCGGTGGGCTTTGCGGGAAGGGTGGGGTGGGGGGTATGGAAAAACGAAAGTAGGCCGGAAGGCACACAGATATCTCAAGATGGATGGCCCAGATTGGGCCTTTTTTTGAATCCTGTCGAAGGCCTCGCGGAGCGCCTAACATGAATGGGCATTGGGCGCGACTCGTGCAACTTTGATGCTCAAACAGTCAACGCTGCCCCCTCATGCTTTTCTTCCATACAACGTCATCTAGCTGGTAAGGAGCCAACCAGGCGGAGGGGGGGGAGAGGGGTTGCGCACACACATCTGGGAGAGGGAGAGATAGCAAGGGAGAAGGGAAGGGAAGTAGGGAGGGCAGGCTCGCATCGTTTTTTAAGGAAACGGTGTGAAAACCATTTCTGCAGCACTACGAAGCAAGATTAAATAGGAAACGAAGTTGCCTTGTCCTAAGCACGCGGAGGTAACCGATGCTCAAGGTAGGGCCAACCGTCGGAGGAATGCCTCTTATGTGAAAAAGTGTGGAACTAAAAGAACCGTACTGAGGCAAACAGTTCTTAAGCAAGTGTCTATATAATATGACCTTTGAACTTTCAACCTGTGGATTCACTGTTCTTGGTCAGTAACATTCCGCAGCTACGGTAGCCAGGCTGATGGTACAGTCGCTTGGCAAAGCAGTATGCACTACAGGGGCACAGTCGCTTGGCAAAGCAGTATGCACTCTACATGGGTCCTTGGGTGCGGGGTACAACCCCATTGATCTGCACAAGAGACCTGGTACAAGGGTCCAGAGGTCCAAGGTGCAAAAGCTTGCTAGTTGTCCAGGCGTTGCGAGCAGTATGGGGAGTGCTCAATGAGGGAGTCCAGACGTAAAGGGGATTCAGACGGCAGGTGTTACAGGTGGATGTATCTGCTGATTTGCTTGGGTATGATCTTGAGTTCTTTCTGTCTGGATGTTGCTGGTCGGTGTATATGATTCAGTACGGTGGGCATCTGTGCTCGCATTGGTTCTTTAACACGACAGCGGGTGTTGCATCTGATTCTGATTAAACAGGGATGAGGACATTAGTGTGGAGCATCACAAACTTCAACCAATCGTCTCCGGTGCAGATCACCCCAGGGCAGCAAGGCATTGTGGCACCTGCCCTGAAAGGAATGAAGGAAGATGAGGTCATACTTACGTCTGGGCTGCTAAGGAGTGGCATTCACTGCCTGGCGCTTTTCAAGGATAAAGGGGATGAGGATATCTTCAAGCTCTTTGCCATCGTGTTCACGTCAATGGAACCGAGGAACTTCATGGACATCTTTTGTCTGAACATGTCCGGACTGTTTGACTGCATGGTGACAGATAACCAGCTCCTGCTCGTATTTGCTGCACTTCTGCAGGACCAGAAAACGTGTCAGAAGACGCGCAGACATTTCTGTGATGTGTTAGTGAATTTTCTCGTGTCATCAAAGATGTCAGCGCTCGCCCAGGTGGATAGCCCGGAGGCAAAGCTTGTCTTGCAGATGTTCACGCACGTGTTTGCTGCCCTGGGAAAGTTTCCGATGGAGTGTGAACCGGTGCTTCGGCCGCACTTGGCAACGATCATGGATGTATGCCTAAAGAGTTCGTCAGAGCTGGATCGTCCGCTTGGCTACATGCTACTCTTGCAGATCATGTTTCGAGCTTTGGCGAGTGGAGCCTATGAGATGGTGAGGGAGTTCTCGGCAATGCTCCAGTCATGTCTGAATAGCTTGCTAGCGATGCTCGACGGACCAAGTGGCCACGAGATGAAAGATGTTTTGGTTGAGCTGTGCTTGACAATGCCTGCAAAGTTGTCGTCACTACTGGCGCATTTGCCACGACTCATGCGGCCATTGGTTATGGCTCTGAAAGGGAACGAGGAACTAGTTAGTCTGGGATTGAGGACGATGGAGTTCTGGGTAGATTCGCTGCGGCCAGAATTCCTTGAGCCGAATATGACCCATGTTATGCCAGACCTGATCCTGACATTATGGGGCCACTTACGGCCGAAGCCGTACCCTTTTGGGACGAAGGCGCTTCAGCTGCTGGGAAAACTGGGTGGGAAAAACCGTCGATTCCTGAAGGAGCCAATCGAACTCGAGTGTAAGGACAATCCTGAGCATGGACTTCGCCTGATCCTCACATTTGAGCCGAGCACTTCGTTTCTCGTCCCAATGGATCGCTGCATTTATCTTGCTAGATCTGCAGTCATGTCACCTCCGCCTGGAATGGAAGCTTATTATCGCAAGAATGCTCTCAAGTTTCTCCGAGTTTGCCTTGCTTCTCTGCTTAATCTGAAAGGCAACATGTCGCCAGATGGCGTCTCTAGTGGGCAGCTGAGCACCGTGCTGATGTCTTCTGTAGATCCACATCTAAGGCGGATGGAGGGCCCTAGCCTGAATGTGAGTGTCACCTACGCTTTCATCCTGCGTCTTTCTCCTGATTGCTGCCTTGCCGTCTTGGGTCTTTTAATTTCCATGTTTGTTCTATGTTTTGGGATAGGGTGTAGATATGTCTGAAACTCTGCTTTGTGTCTCAGCTTACATTTTTAGTATACTGTGTTGCACATATGTGTTCCCACCAGCCTTAGATGTAAAAGGGTGGATGTTATGCCAGGGTCGTGTTGAGTAGTTGGTGGGGGTGGCCCCACACGACAGACTAAAACACCATTTGTTCAAGCGAGTCAGAACCAGGACAAATATATATAACTTACTAGGTCAAAGATTCAGTTTGTGAATTTGAAAACACGGGGTGAACTCCCGTTATTCGCCTCTTGCATCTGAACTCTGGCCAGCCTACATTGGGACAAATAGGTTATCAGCAGGAAACCACAAAACAGTACAGCTGCTTGCCCTGGCCAGCGACGGCCAAGCTGTTTGGGATCCTCAGAGCCTTTACACTAGGATGGAATGAACATGCGGGGGGGGTTGTTGAAAAGGAGTGGCTATGCCTGTATTTTCGTATATGTTTTTGTTTTTCTCCCAGCGGCTGAGTGCAGAGCTATGTGCACTTGGTGTGGTACTATGTGGAGTCGGTGCAGTGCTATGTGGATTTGCTGTGGTACTATGTGGGCTGGGTGCTGTACTATGTGTCCTGCACATTGGACTCTGTGGGCTGGGTGTTGTACGGTGGCACCACATGGGCTGGGTGCAATAGCATATGAGGTTGGTGCAGTAGTATGTGGGCAAAACGAACATGCCTTGGCTGGATCCAGCTGCACCCAGTCATTTCCTCATTAGGCTAAATGGTAAACGCATGTTCCTCTTTTCCTTCAAATCTTAAAACGGGGTGACCGACTTGAGTTTCTGATACCAACAGGACTGGAACAAATATCTGTTTATGAACAGTTACATGGGTGTGCCATGCAGCCATGATCTCTGGGTGTGTACTTGTATTTGCACAATTCCGCTCCCTGGACTCAAATACCACTCGGGTCACGGAAGGGCCAGTTTTTTTAATTCTTTTGTTCAGGGTTGCATGCCCACCGACCGCCTACCCGACCACCGACCGTTTTGCAGCCTACTGGTAGGGCCGACTGGTCGGCGGTCTGCCGACCTGTCATAAAACAGCCATGCTTTTCTTTTAAATCTGACTGCGGGGCTGTAGTGCACTTGCTTGAGTACAGCCCGAATCCACTGGGGGGGGGTATGGGGTGGTATAGGGTTGATATAGGGGGTATACGGGGGGGGATGTGAGGGTGTTGGGGGGCGGTTTAGGGGTTCTCGGGAGGCGTATGGGGTTGTTGGTGGGGGGTTATTGGGGGTTATGGACTCCCTGTTTTTTTTTTTTTTTTTTTTTTTTTTGCGGGGTGCCCACGGCGGTTGACTGATGGGTGCCGCCCAGCTGTGACCAATTAAGGGGCGCCGAACGTCGGTCTGTGCAACTCTGCTTCTATTCCTTTTGTGATTCTTCTACGTCTTGCTATTGAAAAATGGCTGGGGGGGGGCTGGGGGAGCTTTGGGACTACTGGTCACTGTTGGTCAGTGCCGATGGACAAAATTTGAATTCAATCCCATGGGGCCATTGTCAATTTTCAATTCCCGTCAGCTAAGGGTTCAGTATGCAACTGACAGGCTTCGGTAGTGTGACCCGCCTGATGTAGGATTCGTCAACGCTAATGCGACTAAATCTACTATATAGCGCACAATTTTGATCGAAAAAATCTGAAAAAAAAAATGCCAGTAGGTTTGGTCCTGATCTATCCAAAAAAGATGAAAGGAAAGTAAAGAAAATATTGTATGATAGCGAAAACAATTATCCTGGAAATATTGTATGATAGCGAAAACAATTATCCTGGCGAACTTGCACAATTTTTCACGTTTTTGCTAGCTGCCGATACTGGTGGGCCCAAGTGTTTTCCGCTTCCTGGGCGCACGGGTCGCCCATGTCTCCGATCATCGGGTGGATCAGTGTTTTAAACCACCACTGCCTTCGAGCCCTTCTTCCCAACGTGCTTATATAGGTCAGGTCGCCCATATTTCCGATCATTGGGTGGACCAGTGTTTTAAACCACCACTACCTCCGAGCCCCCTCTTCCCAACACACTTATACAGGTCACCCGGATTTCAATCATTGGGCGGACTGGTGTTTTAAACCTCCTGTACCTCCGAGTCTCTTTTACCCAATGCGGATTTGTACTGCGTGCCAAAGAATAATGAACCACCTGCACACTTTTTTCCTGTTTGGCTGGCGCTGCCAGCCATTTTGGTCCGATAGGAGTCATGGGACTCATCGTCCTAAAATCTTCAAATTGAGTCAATTTTGATTCTCAACTTGCCTGTGGAGGGTACTGGCAGTTTAAGTCGATTATTAAGCCAGATACCGTTGAGCAGGCGCAGTCTATTCACAGGGCTTTTCTGGCCCTGCCACCAGCCGGATTCCACCTGTAGGTTAGGGGACTGGACATTCCGCGTGGCAGCCCTGCGATTTGTTTTGGGGCCTCATAGGCCCTGAAACGGTAAGCCTTCCTCTTCTTTTTTTTGGTTCTGTTTGCTTCTTTTCTCGGGCACGGTCCCTCCTGAGTTGGAATCGAACCGGGTTCCCTTCCTGCCGTGACATGGTGTTCGGTCTGCAGTACCCATAGCTCTCAGGTTGCCATCACTAGCCGTTGCCGTCTGCTCCCTTCTGCTCATTGTGCATGGCTGCCATCGCTACTGCCCTGTTGCTCGCTGCTGCATGTCGCTTGTCATGTGCATGTCAGCGAGTAATCTTCTTCTTCTTCGACCTTCCCTTCTTATTGACAAGAAGTCCCACACTCTCTCCACCACCGTCCTTCTCTCCTCCTCCATCGCCCTTTCTCTCCATCTTCTTCGGCTATTTTATCGCCCGGGGCTCGTTCATCTCCCTTGTGTTTCCTTAAGTTACATCTCCCTCTGTTACATCTCCCTCTTTCCCTCTGTGTACATCTTCCTTCTCCCTTGCCTCCTTGATCGTCCTACACCCTCGATCGCCCTTTCATCTGTGTTCCCTCCTTTGTATTTTTGAAACCTTTCTGTAGTCCCTTCTCCGTTCGCCCTGCTAGGCAGAAAGAAAAGAATTGAGGTGGTTCTGGTTCATATATGGATGGACTGACCTGTAGTATAGCCCAAGCAATTCAGCACAGATGAATGTTGACGGTGGGTGGTCTGTAACGCACCATCTAAGCAAGCAAACAATGGAGAATTGTCTGCAAAAGTTTGGTCCGCCTCGAATAGTGAGCGTGAGCGTTCTTTTTGAATAGGAAGTTTGAGCGTCCTATTTGAAGATTAAGTGCAGGCATTTCATTCGAAAGACCTTTTGGAAACTGGGAAATTTTGATGTAACTCAAATAGAATGCTCGGTTTGTTTTTTATTTCGGGGAGAATGGTAGCCCTAACCTGTGTTATCTGCCAAAACAGTGAAAAATCTGGCATAGATGCGGTCGCGCAAACCATCTCGCTCAGGGTTTTTTATACCATGAGGGCAGGTATTCTTTTGCACCATGCGAGCAGTCTAGGGCTCTCGGCTCATGAAAGCCCAGCCCCACTGTTCAATGTCTAGGTCTTTTGAGGAAATATGAAAGTTGCTGTCAGATGGTATAATAATCTCCTCTTACTGGCTGTTTGATGTCAATGTTGACATAAGCATAATCCAGCAGTGCTTGTCCCTGCACTACCAAGTTTTGGCCACATGCATGAGTGAGCTTCTTGAGCTGACTTATCTGAAATCCAGTGCTTGTTGGCAAACCTTGATGAAGAAGGGACTCCATGCTGTGTAGACTCTGGGGTCGCTTAGGACATACGCAAATGAGGACTTTCCCAAATGTGTCTGATCCATTCCACACCCACGTTACACAAAAATGTCCTGGTGCGAGTACACCCTGAGCCTCTGGCTCTCCTGAAATCCACCTCAGGACTGGAACACCATCCTATCCCAACGCTTGGTATCAACTTCCTGCTTTCCTTGGGTGATTTTTCTCCAAAAGACTGTGATTCAGTGTTCCTCGCCCTGTAGCAGTGAAATAACATTTTGTTCAACTTGCTTGCTACGTCGTCCGCTCTCTCTCCCCCTCTTTGTCTTCTTGTGTTGTGCAGTTTTTTCTTGCTCACATTTGGGATGACAGACTTGGCAGAGGGTAGAAGAAAATAGTATTTGTGGAAACTGTGTTAGCTGGCTCTTCAGCAGTCAAGCAACATTACTGAACTTCAGAGGTACTGGTCGTTAACACAGTCCAAGCGTGGCTCATCAGTACACCCATGAACTTGTGATAAGTTCAGTCCTCATGGGATGAGACTAATGAAGTAACTAGAGCTACCCGGGGTCGGACAACGCTATGATAAGAAGTGAAGGCCGTCACCCTTTTGAAAGAAAGAGCAAAAAGTTATTGGTCACTAGCTACCCTCCAAAAATGGTCATTTGTAGTCCAGCAATTTGGTAAAGAGTCTCTATGATGATGGGTGCCGATGCTCACCGGCAGCTCAGTCCTCATGGGACGAGATTGATGAAGTGACTACAGTTACCTTGGGGCCAGGCAATGCGATGATTAGAAGTGAAGGCCGTCACCCTTTTGAAAGAAAAAGAAAAAAGTTATTGGTCGCTAACTGCCCTCCAGAAGTGGTCATTTGTAGTCCATCAAGTTGGTAAAGTGATTCTTTGAATGATGGGTGCCGTTGCTCACCGGCAGGTTTCACTGCACCTTTGTGTCTCTTGCTGGGCTGTTGTCTATCCGCAGACCTATGAGGTTTCCAGGAACAAGCCGGTTTGCTGAAGCACAAAGTTGGAGTGGTACCAGTAGTCATGGATGGGACCGCTTCGTTCACAAGAGCAAGGCTTTGCTGATATGGGCTGATTGCTTGGTGTTCACTCCTACACAGGTTGATTTAGGTGTGAAGACAAAGACGCAACTCATGGCGGAACGGAGTATTTTCAAGCTGCTCCTCACAACAGTGATAGCTGCCAATGCAGAAGCTGACCTCATTGAACCAGGGGATGACTTTGTAACGAGCGTATGCCGTCACTTTGCCATGTTGTTCTCGGTTGAAGCTTCTGCACCTCCCCGAATGGCGAACAGTGCTGCAGGAGGCCATCCGCAAGGAACACCAAGCAGCAATGGGTCCTGTGCACCGAATGTGTTGAGTGGTGGAGCAGGAGCAGTTCGGCAGCGTAATCGTCAGCTGACTAATTTGAAGGAGTTGGACCCTCTCATATTTCTGGATGCCTTGGTGGCAGTGCTTGGAGATGAAAAACGTGCACATGCGAAGGCGGCCCTCACAGGTCTCAATATTTTTGCGGAAACCTTGCTTTGCATTGCCAGAGCAAAGCAGGCTGGCGGAAGTCTGAGCGGTTCGGTGGTCCTAACGCCTCGAGGAGGAGGATCTGTACCAGGAACCCCAACCCCAATCATGGTGTCCAGCCCATCAATGAATCCTGTATACTTGTTGCCGCCGGGGCTTCGCATCCCAGTCTTTGAGCACCTTATACCTCGTTTGCTGCATGCTTGTTATGGTGCAACGTGGCAGGCGCAAATGGGAGGAGTTGTTGGGCTTGGGGCTCTTGTAGGGAAAGTACCTGTGGATACGCTATGCGTGTTTCAAGTGAAGGCTGTTGTGGCTCTCATCTTTGTGCTCAAGAAGCTTCCGCACCATGCAATCAAGGAGCAGGAGGAGACCAGTCAGGTTTTGCGTCAGGTTTTACGAGTGGTCAATAATGCAGATGACAGCAACAATGAGCAACGGAGACAGGTAGGCGATGATTGTCAATGCCGCACAGGGTGTAACGTCTGCAAGGGAAAACGAACGTAAGGTTGTGTAGCCACATTTATAGTTTTTTGAAGGAGTGCAAGTATGCCCTTATGGGAAATGGCGATCGCCAAGACAGAACAAGGGTTTAACCCACCACTACCTCCGAGCCTGTCTTTGCCGCCCCTGATTTTCACGGCGCACCAAGTTTTGCCTAGCCTGGGGTCCGTTTTGTTTCTTTTCTGGTACTCTTCTGAAAAAAGGAAAAAGAAAGCACGGCCAGACTTTCAAAAAACGACACCCTTACAACCACAAAAAAGAAAAAGACAAAAAACACCCCTTTGGATGTGATACCAGGTAGATACCTACTCCAAAGTTGTTGTGCGAGTATGCCCTGAGTGAGGGCGTTACAGCAGGGGTGTCAGGTCCACAGATGAAGGAAAAAGGGAAAAAAAAGAGACCGAACTTAGGGCGGGAAAGCAGGTTCATACATTCTGCATAGTACTAGCGTGGGCATGTCCTCCTCCACATAGTATCAGCAGCCCATGGACTCCGCCGTGCCTCACTGGCAGGGCACCAAGACAAAAAAAAAAGAAAGAAAAACACGCACAACAAAAACCTGAAACTGGCCACAATAGTATAGATACGTTCTTGTGAGTATTGGTGTGAGCACAACTTCTTGCACGGCCTTCCCTGACTTGGTATTTTGTTTTTCTTTTTCTTTTCTGAAATCCGCATACCCCCGAAAAGTTCAGAAAAAGTGGGAGAACTACCAGTTTTAGGAGTGACAGAGGTAGTGGTGGTTTAAGGTCTGTAAAGGAAAATGCAATGATTCACACATTTACATCTGCATCATGACACTCTGTTTGGAATTTTGCATACATTGTCACACAGTTCCTCACATGCACATGCACGATTCACACAATCTGAGAACTCTTGGAAAGTATTTCAAAACTCGGATTTATATACAACAGGTCTTCTCTGCTCCAACAGCTATGGCCGCCATCAACAACAATCAACAGGTATGTCTTCCTTTCCCTCTCCCTCTCTCTCTGTACACTCAGGCCGCGGTATCGCTCTCTGAATGTCTTCCCTCTCTCTAAGCTACCTTCTTCTCTCTCCTGCTGACTATGGCGCCGGGCGCCGTTGACCAGGCGCTCCTGATTCCCAGCCGCGGCTTGGTCGTAACGCAGCAGCGCTTCCACAGCAGTCATGAATGGAAAATTGTGTTGGTGCTGGCTGCGACTTGACTTCAGTACTTTGTGCAGTTCCAAAAGTGGACTTGTGGTGCTGATCCCTTTCCTGCCGTGGCCTTAGTCGACCCCAATGTTTCGGATCGTCATGGGACTCTCTGGATCGAGACTGTCTGGGACAGAGAGACAACTGGTACCTAATGATTGACTCCTACGGACTAAGGCCTACCGGTTCTTACACGGCCTATGGTACCTACTGTAAGTATAGCATGGCCTACTGGTGGGGCATATGCTACAGGGGGAAATTGGGACTTGGTACAGGGACTGGACTCTGAGGTGGGTGAATCCTTTCAAAATCAAATCTGGGGGGAATTCCAATCTAAACTTTCTAAAGGCTTTTGGACATGTTATAGGTTGAATGTTAGACCGCAGGCTTGGGATCTGAAAACAGGTATAGATATTCCCGTGTTCCTACATGGAAGCGTGCACGGCATCTCTGTCGATGAAGATGTGTGTCTGAAATGGTGGTGGATCTTTTTCTCTGGGATCTGAAAACAGGTATAGATATTCCCGTGTTCCTACATGGAAGCGTGCACGGCATCTCCGTTGATGAAGATGTGTGTCTGAAATGGTGGTGGATCTTTTTCTCTGTATGGTGAAGAGTGCAAAAGTACCATTTCTTGATTTATGCGTGTCACCCTTGCGCAGGGGCCACGCTAATCTTCTCTGTATTTTTCCAATTTTGACGGACGTCCATTGCAAGCTGCTGGAGAATCCATGTGGCGTCACATCAGTTCAGATGTAGCACATCTTTGGGCACCTCCTGATCGCTGGTTATCTTGTTTGTTTTGCTATCCCTGCTAAGCGTTAGTATTTCAGTTGTCTCCGCCCGGTTGTCCTATGCACTTCCATCCACTAGCTCAATAAATTGAGAAGTGGGTCCTGTATAATGGTATCTCTTGGAGACCCGTTTGAGACTGGAGGGGCCCTGGGGAGTTTGGTCCGAAGTCATTCCAGAGGCTTGGTTACGTAAATGAAGGGGCACACCGCTGCACAAAAAGGGAAGGGCTGTGCGAGGCACAACAAGAACAGTGGTCCACTGTGGCCATTTTCTTTTCGCAAAGAGGCACGCCGGTGGACAAAAGGGAAAGCTCTCTGCAAGGCAGGTCCGTCATGGCCTGTGAAAAATGTTTTCTCTATCATTTCGATTCTAAACCACCAGTACCAGTGAGACCATCTGAAGTTCTCTCCTGCATTTGCGGCAGCTGTCACAGGCCATGTGCTGGCCTGCCAGCGACCAGTTCAATTCGTACACGACGTATGGTACTGGTGATTTCAGATGTCCCAAAGGATGGAGCAACCCTTTGAGGAGAGCACTGCAGCGCTAGATTTGTACGTGTCATCCTTGTACAATAAGAACACTCACCTTCTCATGCATGTTGACGTGGGCATGCAAGAGAGAGAGAGAGAGAGAGAGAGAGATGGCCCGTGTGACACAGAAAAGGGAAAAAAAAGGAAAGGGTTTTGTTTCCCCCCCATTCTCTGCCTTGTGGTGCAACGTCTGCCAACTTTGTCTTAAAGATGTGTTTTTTTTTTCCATTACCTTTTTCGCAACACTGATTTCTACCCGGCCCTAAGAAATTGGAACCGTTGTGGCACATGATTTGCCTGCCGCTGCCAACCGTTTTGTGGCAGGCACTTCGAGCCTTGTCATGGCCTTCTACGGGGGGTCGTTTTGTCAGAGACTTGGCCAACAACTGGCCGTTAAGTCAGATTTGCAGGGCATGTTGCCACACAGGCTTAAAACTGCAACAATGATGCAAAACTAAAATTGTCTAAGGTATAGGTTTCTGAGGACGGTGTGAAGGGCTGCTACTGGTGTTCCTGTCTATGCATTTTAGTAGATTAGCTGCTCACCTACAATCTCTGACTGGTTGGAGACAGACTCCGCAGAATGCAAAATCTGGGTTGTGAGTTTTGGTCCGGGCCATCTGGGTGCAAATGGTGTGCTCACTGTGCTGTGGTGCCAGTATTCCACTGAGGCACATGGTAATTGTGTTTTGTTTGTGTGTGACTGCTCTTCGTCATTCCGTGTCTTTTGGTTGCAGATGTTGTGGCGATTGATTAGGTCTTTGATATTACACATGCTAGTTGTGCTTAGGTTTGGGAGAAATTGTCCAGCTATAAAGGCTGTAAAGGCATATGGAAAAGATTACCTTTCAGTTTCTGGAAGGGTCCGGCCGGCCGCTGTAGCATGAAGAGTCATAGGCTTTGCTTGTTAGAGTGACTGGCAGACTTCTCAATCCAGCTGTTTGTGGTTTGTTTGCGGTTGTGGGAAAACAGAGCTTCCAAGGAGTGTTGGAGGTATTGGCAGCAGAGTTTTTCAATCCAGCAGCATCACAAAGCGTCAGGAAGAATGTGCAATCAGCCCTCAGCCTCCTTGCGAGTCGAACAGGCAGTGAGGTCTCAGAGTTGCTGGAACCTGTGCATGTGCGCTTAGTTCAGCCTCTCCTGACTCGCCCTTTGAAGCCCAAGCCCATTGAACAGCAGGTGAGTGGAAACAGCATCCAGTCTGCCTCTACTGAATGGGTTCAACCAGTGCAACATTGCACCTGGTCAATACCATCCGGAATTGTGTTGTATACACTGGGCAGGAGCCTGGTGAGGAGCTTGTCCATTTTTTTTACGGAACATCCTGCATTGTCAAAATATGAGGTTCTAAGTGTTTACAGAACATCCTGCACAGTGCAGGGAAGAATGGTAGGAGCAGGAGAGCATAGATTGCAGCTATGATTGCCAGACTACCTGGGACTGAAGTAGAAATGGACAAGGGAGGAGGAAAAGGAGAACGAGGGGTAGGGGAGTTAAGAGGACAGCTGACCAAGTTCGAATACAACACACCCCTGTGGTATTTGGAGGCACTTCGCTCTGGGTTTGGTGTCCCAGTCCAATATAGCTGAAGTCATGAAACTTCTTGTATGGGACTCAGATCGCATATGTGGTTGTACCATGTCAATGCAGGTCCCCATTTATGACCCTTCTTGAGAAGCGAACACCTACCGTCTTCACCGGAATAGAATGCCCGGTCGTTATAGCTGTATTTGGCACAACTTTCAGCCCAGATATGGCGATAATTACCGGGCGTTCTATTCGGGTGAAGACGGTAGTCTAACCTCTGGATGCAGTGAATGTCTATGGATTTCCACCTCTCCCCATTGCCAAGTTGGTCAAAAGTGTGTATGAGAGGGACTGAAAGGAGATCGAAGAACATTAATGGGATCGGAATGTGTGGTTTATGTGCTTTTACTGTGGCTGATGGTTGTTGAAGATGGGAAGTCATCATGCAGTTTGTCGGGCTGTGGTGAAACGTTTGGGGAGGCAAGCTATGGAATTGAAAGTCAGCAGGATGCCTTCTTTGCCTGAAACTTCTTGCACTGGCTGGCCTTTATTTTGCAGGTTGGAACAGTGATGGCCCTAAAGGAGGGTCTTGCTTTGCGTCCGCCTCTCTTGAGGATCACCCAAGACCTTTTGCTGCAGCTACAAGATGTATTGGACTTCGCTGAGTCCGAAGGTGACAGTGGTGTGCAGGGTGGAAAGTATGTTAATCCGAAAATGGTCTCTGTTCTCACAAGAAGACGGACTGTTTCCATTGAGCTATTGTGTACCACAATGGCCTTGGCTGATATCAAGGCACCTCAATACAATGACCTGCGTTCCAAGATCATTTCCATGTTGTTCAGGTCCCTCACTAGCCGCACGCAGGAGATTGTCCCTGTCGCCAAAGAAGGTTTGCGGCAGGTTTGTGAGCAAACATCCTGAAACATACATGTACCCGATCATGTGCCGCAAGTCGCTACCCTGGAGCAGGCTACTTAGTTTTGTGAATTGTGTGCTGGGCAAGCATGTGGGGTATGGGGTTGTATATTGATCTGTGCAAAAGTGCTTTGTTGGTGGAAGTCCTAAATGAGTAAGACCTGCCTGCTTGTACTGTCTTCGGTGGAAGTCATAAGTGCACTAGATCTGCCTGCTTGTACTGTCTTCTGGGCGCCTGTTTCTTTGCTTGTGCCTCAATTCGTAGTGATGTTTTTGAATAGAGTTGGAGAGACGTTCTGCAGAAAACGCCGGAGGAAGAGTCAGGAGAGCTATTGTCTTCCTCCAAATAGAACATATATGGACCTGCTACACACACTCCCGCCAACGTCGCTATCCTACACATGTCACCCGTCTCTCTCAGTGGTTCTGACGCATGCTGCGATGGTCCTTGCATCACCCACTTTCTTCTTTATCCCCACATCGCGCTCGTCCTGTCACTGCTTGTTCATCTGCTGCTAATGCAGTTCCCACTGTTGCGGTTCCCACCGCCGCCGCTTCCACCGCTGTGGTCTCCACTGCTGCAGTTTCTACTGCTGCTG